TTCACAATAAAATTTTTTTGAAGGTTTTACTTTAAGAGACACAAATTACTCCTTAAATAACCCCAGTTATATTATCTAAATTTATTTACCGCATGTTGTGGTTCATACGGTGTTTGAAAGATAACTAAAATATATTTCCAATTTCAGTGCAAAAGTTTTTAAGAAGGGGGAGAGTACGGACCAGAATTACTTTGAAATAAGAGCTTGGTCTGAAGTTCTTAAGGAACAAATGGTGTTTGAAAGCGAAACTGAAAAGTTTAAGACTTGTAATGACAAGTCTGTGGTTGAAGGTAATGAAGGAAATAAGGAGTCAAAGATGACTTCTGATGATGCAAATAAGGAGAGCAAGGATGCTCATATGATTGGGACAGTTAATGAACTGGAAAAAATGAAAACATTTTAGCAGTTGTTAGACTGGTTGATGCGCTGGTGAAAAATGAAAAAAGCTTGTAATGATAACACTGATAACACAAGTTTGAGATAATAATTGAAGACTCTCGGATGACTCAAAATTCTCTAACTTTTAATAAATGCTAATGATAAAGAATAGGCTAATGATGATTGAAATAATGCTTCAAATTGCTTTTGGTGTATTTTCCATTGCAATAACCCATAAATATGTTTCAATAAACGATTTATTAAGTAATAATTCTCATGTTTTCTTTTAATTCTTTTATCTGATTTAAATTATGATTCTTATAAAAACAAATACTAGCAGTTAATAATTTTTATATAACATTTTCAATGCTTTTTAAACGAACAGTTTCAAATTTGAAAGAAAAAAAAACTACACGGGATCATTACAGAGAAATGAATATAGTTTCAGCATTACTTGAATTTCAAGGACGAAAAATGATATCAACTTTAATCTTGAGTTGGCAATAAACTGAAAATATAATAAAACTACTTGTTTCAGTTTGTCTAAAGATTAGTAAATATTTTTTTTACATCACACCATAATCGAAAAACACTGGACGCATCACTCTCAAATGACGTGGTAAAAAAATTTCGGAGATTGTCGAATACAATGAAGAAAATTACTCTTTTCCTTACAGATGTGAGGAAAATTAAATATTTTTTTTCTTTTTAAGGAAATTCGAAAAATGTAGTTCTTTTAGTTTCTTTTTCTCAGATTTTCATTTAGTTTTGTATCATTTAGTTTGTTATCAGAAAATGAGCAATATTCCATTTCTCGAATAGATGTTGAAACCATTGTTTCTTTTTTCTCTTAATCTTAATCAGATGTAGAGAGCCATTCTGTAGAGAACAATCATCAAATTAGAAAAAAAAATTTACAAGTAAATTTTTTATTATAAAAATCATAACACTTACTTGTTTTATAAATCCGGAGAATTCTAAATGAAAGATTCTTTGTTTGAAAATTTTAATCTTAAATAATATATACATAGCTAATCCCTTCATTACTTTCAGCTGACTTACCGCACAACAAAATTTTACAATTGTAAGATCTCGATACGAATTTCAATATGTAACTTAAAAACAGAACAGCTGAATTCTAGTTGAAATTATTCATTCAAAATAATAAAACGCACAACCAAAAATAACCGCACAACTTACCAAGAAAACGATAAAAAATTATTAATGATCAACACAAATGATACTATTTCAAGTAATTTGAATGATTCTTTATTTTCGTTTTCCGAGTTATATAGATTCAGAAATATATACTATTTAATAAAGAAGAATATTCTATAACTATTTCAGTTCTTCACGTTCTGAAATCAAATTTATCATTGGATGAAGTAAGCGATGTTGACACCACTTTAATTTGTAATAAGTTGAAGCTTCTTTTCTTAAATAAGAAACGATACTATGTGGTTTTCTGGCCAATAAGAATTCTCCAACAGCAATGTATCGTCCAACAGGAATATGGCAGACAGCTAGTTGCCATTCACAATCCCAAAATTACAATGAATTGATTTATTATAATCAAGGGTGTAGTTTAGCATCTAGCTTGGACATCTCTGTGAATTATAAATAATTCACAGCAACCAAAAAATACATTTTTTCACTTGAAAAAAAGAGAGTAATAAGTAAGCGAAAAAATATATATACCCATATCAAGTTGTTTAATTACATAGCAAAATATTGTGATTTATTGAAACCTAAGTTAAACATATTTAAGATTAAATATTTAAAGGTACATTAAAATACGACCGTCTTGACGCATAGATTTATTGGACAAACTTAAAGGTAAATTTCATATTTATCTATATTTCTATTACAGCATAACTGATTTCCCGTTATTTAAAGAAAGAATTTCAGAAATTTTGATGTTTTAAAACACATAAACAAACATAAAAACACACTTTAAAATGTTTTTGTTTTTTAAAATAATATTAACTATTCAATTAATTAAATAATTTGTGGGTGGTTAATGCATCATATGCTGAGTGTAAATAATGCAAACATAATGTTATATATAGCTTATTTGTACGTGTAGCTGTGCTTTGCTCAAAAAACTTAAAAATTAAGAAAATTGCCCAAGTTAATGGCTTCCAAATAATATGTAATTCATAATTAAATTTGATCAAATGTTTTCTAAACAAGCTATATTTTTAAGTGTCCAACAGTAAGTTATTTGATACTTGATGAATGAGATTTTGCGTAAAGTGTTCTTGCTTTTAATATGAGTAATATTAATAATAATTATTTATTTTTAACATTAAATTTTATTTTCAAAAAAGAATTAAGTAGCGTTTTTAAATAATTTGAGAATGATACAAAACAGTTGATATCATTCTATGAAATTTCTACTGATATTTAGATTTAATGAATGAGCCAAAAGCACTCTTTACAACTTATTCAGCCAATTTTTACCTTTACAAACCATTTTCGTCAAGGAATATAAAGAGCAAGAAACACCAATTTTATCATAAACACTATGCAGAACTAAACAGCTTATTGGACTGGTCAATACAACAGAAATGGTACTACTTCATTTTGGCGCCATAAAAAAGTTGTCCAACTTTAATTCACATGAATCGTACTTTCGTAAGTTTCTTCCGGGATGACTGAAAGAAAACTTAGTTTTTTTTTCGATGTTGAAAGATATTTAAATATCAAAGCTTTTTTATATTTTTAAAAAATAAATAAAACAAAAAATAAAAATTTAAAAAAAATTCGCGCAGTTCTACTTTTTTGGCGACTTTCAGCTTGCGCCCAGCTAATACCCTTTAAAATAGTATCGACTAAACATTTTCTGACTCCTCAATAAATTAATTACTTACTCCTCAATAAATGAATTTACTATCTCAATTAACAATTAAATATTTATAATTAAATCAATAGTTAGAATCTATATTTTAGATTATTTTCTAACAACTTCCCAAAATGCAGTAGTACACGGGGAAACAAATTCTGGTAAAATTACTTGTATGGTAATGACATTTCTGGCTATTAAAAAAGAGCCCAATTCTGGTTAATGAAACCAAAATTTACGGTATTTAAATCATTCATTTGATAATTTTTCGGTTCATATAGTAATGATTTACCGGAAATTTTGGCTTTCAAAATTATAGTTCTTATTGCGACACATGTAGTAAAAATACGGAATTGAAAGCTAAATTTATATAATGGGTTTCAAAAATTTAAGAAATGGTTTTTATATGCCATGCTCCTAGATATCACGCAAAATTACCAGATTTACTAAACTATATCATATATTTATTTTATTGTTAATTTTATCAAAATCATTACCAAAGCTCTTTTTGTTGCTTTCATAGAGCAAGAAACATCGTAAATTTTACCAAATTCTGGTATTTTTGATCATATTTTTTTCTTAGAGTACATATACTAATACTGTAGATCATTATATGCAGTCAGTATCAGTATATGGTGTGCACAAAGCTTATTACCCATGACATGTACTCCGTGTACATGCAATGGGGCTTTCTATACTCCAGAATAGTACCACAAAAACGCATGTATAAGGCGAAGAGCCGCATAATGATCTGATATAGGAGAAAGCTTGTCAAAAGTCTGATAAAAGTTTGTGTAAAACGCTCTTTTTGTTCACAATTATTTCTTGTCATTCCTTAAACCACGTAGCTTTTAAGGCAAAATTTTATATATTTTTTTTAATTAAATAGCAGCTTAAACTTATGCTTCTTCACAAAAAAGTGAAATAGAGATATAAACTAAAGATGAAAAACTGAAATAAACATTTTGGAGAATTTTGATTGTAAAATTAATTTTTAACGAATTATTTGTTTCCTTGTTTAATAACATTATGTTGAGATAATGCCAATATGTAAGCGGAATATAATAATTTTCTTAAACTACTCATGTCATTTTTTTAGAACAGGGTTTAATTTCAGTTTCTTTAAAAACTTTATGAAATTCAAAAATAAATTTTATTTTTAGCGCTGTAAAATTGCAACGATCGTGTAAAAAACATTCACTCAATGAAAAACAAATGAATCGCTTACACCAGTGTTTCCCAAACTTATGACTTTTGTGTACCTACCCTTTCTAAATTTTTCGTAACGCTGTGTACCACTAATAAAAAATTAATGCATTTTTTACTATAAAAAAATTGCACAAAAGTTAGAAATCACAATTGGCTGTTGACACCACTAATTATTAACTGTCAACTCTGCAAAAAATAGCCAATAGAAAAATACTTAATTGTAAATTTACATGGCTAGCTTTGTTTTAAAATAATTTTTTTTGAGATTTTCGTTTATTGCAAGATATTTCGCATAAGAACGCGTACCCCTGCTAAACAGTTCCCGTACCCCTGGGGGTACGCGTACCACACCTTGGGAAGCACTGGCTTACACCATTGTAAAGTAGCTATTTTTTCTTTGAGCACAGCTTGTGAAATACTCATTTGGTGAAAAAATCTTTAATTTTAAAATGTTGCATCATGTTGTTGTAATGTTATCATAAATATATTTAAGTAATATTATAAATAAGTATGTTACAGACTGAAATAGTATATTTATTTCACTTTTAGTTTATACATTTCATTACAGTCGCTAGTTTGAAAATCTAAATGTAAGAGGTCCAAATGTCAAAATTCGACGAGGAACCAAAAGACAGTTTGTCAACCAGTAAGAGCTTATCCTCTCTTTCTGCTGACTCCACTGAAAGTGATACGGAACGACGTTTCATGAAATTATTCAGAACTAAAAGTGGAGTTGAAAAACTTTTTGAGCTGCAGAAAGAGTATGGCATAGACAACCTGAGTAGAGATAGATCAGGCAGCAGTTTCGATAAAAATGACCCAATGGAGCTAGAAGCAAGGTCAACTATCTTCAAGAAACCGAGAACGGGATTGTCGAAGAATTTTGCTGCATTGTACATGATCGCATCGTTCTGCGGAAATGGCGTGACTTATCTGCCTTATGCTATGAAATTGTCAGGTTAGTCCATCTATATTTAAAGGGGACAGTGAGAAATAACACTGGGGACTAGATATTTTTCTGTTTTAGGAATTTTTTTAACGAATCTTGGATATATAAACATCGCAGATATCAAATCTGAAATAGATTTCTCCCCCCAAACTACAGATTTATTTTAAATGACATTTTAAGGCTATTTTTTGTTGAAATGTGCAAGCTTAAAAATGAATAATTATGCAGTTTACTTTCATCTCTAATCACATTTATTATTCTACCAGAAAAAATATTTACAAATGAAAGAGATGCCAAGTATAAATTGTAGTTACAATATTTTTAAATAAAATATACAATAATTTTTATACATAAATGTGATCGATGATTTCTTCAGACTTCTATACCTTGGATTTCCGGATCGCGGTTTGCGAAAAATCCGAAAATCCGGGTTTTTTCCGAAGCACAATCATCTCGGGCTTCTAAACAGGTCATAGTATGCCAAATGCGACGATATTTCCGGGAAGCGACTTTCCAATACAGCGGTGTTTAACGATCCGCTATTTTGATTAGCATTTTATTAAATAAATAAATTTAAAAAAAATGATTATTAATTTTTTTTTTAGTTCAGGAAACAAATTTCTAAAGAAATAAGAACTTATGTTTCAATTGCAACCAACTACAGCTAAAAAAAAATCCCTAATAAAGAAAAAAAAAGAATAATAAAAACGAGTCATTAAGATCGTTGGATTGTATATTAGTTTCCGGGGGTAGGTTCCTATGCAATTTCAATCTATTGATGTGTCTTAACTCCCTTAGAGCTTTGTCGCAATATTTACGCTGCAACAGCTTTGCAATGGTCTAGAATTCTTGCTTAATAATAATGCGAAGACAATATTAGTGCAGGTGTGCTTTGAAATACCGCAATTAAGATCAGCGATTACATTGTGGTGCATACACTAGTTCTACAAAGCACTCTTCCCAACCGTACGTGCGTGGGAACTTCTGGCTTTGAAACTACCTGGGCTGTAAAAAATTTCGGATCAAAATACGGTAAGTACCGGCACTTTGGGGATACATCATTTGTAAAATCCATTTTTATGGTTATTCCGTAATTTTTACAAAAATATTTATTTAATTAGAGTGATTCAGTGATTTTACGGTAATTGTAAAAATTACCGTACATCAGAATTTTTGTTCTGTAACATGTTCCACTAAATATGGGTTTTACGGTAAAAGTGCCTGAGTACCGATACTTTTTTATTGTAATTTGATCCTAAATGTTTTACAATGTGGCAAATAAGACTTCAGTGGCCTTCGAACCTCTAACAAGAGAAATATGAATATGCAAAGCTCCTACTGAAACGAAACCAAACTTGTGTAATATAGCAAAGGAAAATCTGATCATCATACATAAAACTATTAAGACTTTTTTACGTTTTTTTTCAACTATAGAGTTTAAAATTATACTCAAAACCTTCCTCCATGCAAAAAGTGAATGAAACTATACGATGATCATCAAAAATTCCTTCATTTAAAGAGTCAAATTTTTATAACCTCTAACTTTTGTGTATGATAACTTCCCAAATATACTAAAAACAGAAAGTTTTTCTTTTAAGAGAATTAGTTTAACGTTAAATTAATCTCTCCTATTCAAAAAGAGAGTTCTTTTAACGCTAGGAGAACTGAAATTTTCCATTATTCACAAAAACCATTAAACATTCCCAATTATTAAAACAGGGAGAGCAAAAAATTCTAACCTTAAAATGCGTCACATTAATTATTATGTATTTTAAATAATACGAAAAATATAAAGATTCAAAAAGTGAGATAGTTTAACGTTATGCGAAAAAAAAAATGCTTATTCGCAAAGATTAATGAAAATTCTCAACCAATGAGAGACTTCAAACCGAATACAGAAAAAATAGAGCAGCGTATAACTAACAGAAAAAAAGAGCAGCATATAAATTTCAAAGCAATTTACTCTAGTTCAATAGAGATTTCCAAGTCAAAGACTGAACTGGATCGGTATTCTACTAACATCCAATTAATTTCCATTTGCATTATTCCAATTGGATGATTCGTATTACTATCCCAATAGAAATGTGTTCCTATTGGATGCATCTGTAACTTATTGATCATTGATGAATTTCCAGTGGACAGGTTATTGAAGTGACGTTAGCTTAGACATTTCTATAAAATAACACCTTTATTCACTCAAACAATGTAAACGTTTAAGCTGACGCCAACTAGAAATTCATTAATGATTAATCAGCTACAGCTGTAGACAGGTCATTGTTATTAACAACTTCAGTATTAAGGTATTGATTGAACGATACTAGTTAAATGATATAGTTCAGGTCTTGGCTTTGACATCTTTATGATAATAAAAGCTGTAAAACTAAAATGAAATTTCGTTTTCCCAAAAATTATAATCTTTATCAGGCCAACTATTAAAGCTTTCAAAATTTGTAGGTTTCGTTGGATATATGATGTTTTTACTTGTTGGAATGAATTCTCTTTACTGTGGTTTACTGATTGGCAGGTGCCGAATGATAGTACAAGAGCAATGGCCAGAGTACAAAGACAACCTTCCTTCACCTTATCCTAAAATAGGTCTAAAAGCTGTAGGAAAATGGATGGAGTAAGTACTTCAGAAATCCTTTTCTGGTAAATTTGACTTTATAATTTTAGCTACTTTATAATTTTTTTTTCAATAATGTTAAAAAGACATTAAAAAGTCTTTAAGTTGTAAAAGAGTTGATAATGTAAATAATGGAGTTCTTTTTTATTTTTGGGTAATACTATACTTTATATTAGTTTTAATTATGTTAACAATAATTCGACAGTAAACCTTGTTCGACAATAGGTCTAAAAGATGTAAACAAGGTGGTAAATAATTGAATCATCCTCTAATGAGTAATATTATACTTTATATTTGTTTTAATTATGTTAACAATAATTTGGAAATAGGTCTAAGAAGTTGTAAAAAAGTTGATAGTGTAAGTATTTATGTCGTTGTTTTCTGGGTAATATTATATTTGTTTCATTTAAATTAACACGAATTCGACAATTGATCTAAAAGTTGTAAAAATAAATATGGAGTAAATAATTGAATCATTCTCTACTGAGAATAATATTATACTTTTTATTTGTTTTAATTATGTTAACAATAATTTGAAAATAGGTCTAAAAATTGAATAAAGTTGATAGTGATAGTATTTGAGTCATTTTTTTCTGGGTAATATTATACTTTATATTTGTTTTAAATATGTTAGCAATAATTTGACAATAGGTCTAAAATTTGCAAAAAATATCTTGGAGTATATGAGTTATATAATATATGAGAAAATATATGAGTCATCATTTACTGAGTAATATTATATTTTATATTTGTTTTAATTACGTTAGCAATAATTTGACTGTGGGTTCAAAATTTGTAAAAAAATTGACGGCATAAATATCTGAATCATCTTCTACAGGGTAATATTATGCTTTACATATTTTTTATTTTTGTTAACAATAATTTTGGAATAGGTCTAAAAGTTGTATAAAACGTTGATGGAAAAATAATCAGTTTTTTGGTTAATATACATTTTTATACCGCTTTAATTTACGTAATTTAAAATGTCGAAACCCAAAATGTGAAGGGAATCGATAGAATAGCTCTGAAATAAAAATTTAAAAGTATAACCTTTCAGAAATTGCGAAAACTGAAATTAACTTTAAGGGTTCTAATTTTGTGACCACAATTTTGACCAAACTATTGGGACCATATCTTCCAGATGGTGACTAGATCCCCATATATTGAGAATCAAAAATACAAATCAACCGGGGAAAAAATCGTGTTTATTTAGAGAAAGATCGTTTTTGTATATGATTCCGTAACTTAAAATATTATCTGCATAAATTTATTAGCATAGTTGTGGTTACACCTACGAACCATTAAGTTTGAATCCTTGTATGAAATAATCCGATCATTAGATCAAAAGTTATGCAAGATGTTTCTTTTCCTTTTTTGTGTGCATAGTATATTATAACTGTAACTATAAATGTCATCGCCTGTAATTAAAGAGCTTGTTTAATATTTGTCCTTGAACCATACTCGGACCATATTAGTCCTTGACCGTATTGGAATTTAATGTCCTTGAACCATAAAGATTTCATTAGATTGAAAATTATATAGGCTCTGAAATTATTTGATATTCTTTTGAAACACCTTAAAAAATAAACAAGAAAAAGATTGCTTTGAGTTTAAACTGATTATAGTACTTCATCAAACAGGTATGTTGTGATCATTGTCATGAATATGGCTATATTCGATTGGAGCACGGTGTTAATAAGCAATATGGCCAGCATGCTAGATGAAAGTACTCCAGAGCAGCTGAAGTTTTGTATTACCCTTCTCGTAGCCGGTGCTGTTTTGTTGCCTTTCTCAATGCTTGGATCACTAAAAGACTTGTGGTGAGTAAAATGCTCGTTTTTTAATATCTGTTGCGAGTTTAGTCTTATTTATCTAGCAAAATAAGTTTATGCTTTGATATGAAATGGTTTCTAACTACACTTGAATCGAATGAAGGTGTCGCAGAATTCGATGAAATAGCGGACAATACGAAAGTCTCACGCTTCAAATTAATTAACTAGCCAATCAGAAATGGGAATGTTATTAAATCTTAAACTCTTGTTATTTTAATATGTATAGGTAGGTATTTTACTTACGTCACACTAGAGCTGCACAAGGCGCTATTGCCGACGGTCTGGGAAGCATTCCTGAGGATGATTGGGAGACATGCCATCACAATTTTTATCCTCTGCAGAGAGGCTGGCTCCCCCACTTTGGTAGCCCGACGATCTGAACGCGGAATTGAGCATTGTTATATTTAAAGAAAAAGAGCATTTGCGACTGATTTCGTATGTTAAAATATCGTCTGCACTAATTAATTAACAAATTCGATGTTAAGTCACGCCCTTTGAACTATTAAGGATTGAATGTTGATAAGTAAAAATCCTTTCGTTAGTTAAAAAGTTATTAAGTGCATTCATTTCTTTATTTTGTGCTCTGCATTTTCGAGTTCAACAATGATATTTTTCGACATTTTTAAATAACTAGTTTTATTTTTTCCTCCACCAGGTTAATCGTTTTAAGCAATACATTTATAATGGCCCTTTTCTCCTTCCTCTTGATCACTGCCATATTCATCGATAAAGATACTTATGGACAGGCGGACTATTCACTACATCATCAAGGGCAGGAAGTTGCATCAGCGTTTGGAATGATAACATTTATCGTGAGCTCTTCAGGGACCTATCCTATAATTCACGATGAAATGATTAACAGGAATCTTTATTCTCAGTCTGTGGTCGAGAGTCATATCAGTAAGTAATTCTCTAACATACAAGATAGGCACAACATCCAACAACCGTAACGAAAAATCAAATAAAAAATTATGCTACTGTCATAGTAAATTACAAAATATGACATATTATCACATAACATATCACACAATAATCACCCACTTTCACATCTAAAACTCTCCCTTTTGACGATTCGGTAATTCTTGAGCTGTATTTCGTTAGTTTGGAGAATCATTTCGTCACGAAATCACGTGATTTGTGACAAACGCAAATTCTCAAATATATAACGAAAATATTTCCTCAACTCGGAGCCTCATTGCTGTGCATTGTGAGAGATTGTTAATTAGAATGAAGACTAAACGATCGAAAATAAAGTGATGAAGGAAGCCGAACGGCACAGAATATTATAAAATATGACATATTATCACATAAAATTGCACACAATAATCATCCACTTTCAGGGAAAAAAAACTCTCCCTTTTGACGATTCAGTAATTCTTGAGCTGTATTTCGTTAGTTTGGAGAATCATTTCGTCATGAAATCACGTGCTTTGTGACAAACGCAAACTCTCAAATATATGACGAAAATATTTCCTCAATTCGGAACTTCATTGTAGTGCATTGTGGGAGATTGTTAACTAGAATGAAGACTAAACGATCGAAAATAAAGTGACGAAAAGAATCCAAGCAGCCTGTAGGGTGGTCAAGGAGTTAGCCTCATACAAGGGAAATTCGGGCTCGAATCTCGCTACGGCCATCTGTGTCCTTTATCTCTAGGTTAATTGTTCTTCTTGTGTTGTTTGGGAGACATTGATCTATCTATATGGTGCCCACGACAAAGTGATTTTAAGAAAAGTTGGATATGTTAGGAATTACGAGTTTTTTCATGAATGTATAGAATGACGAAATATTTCTTTAATTTTGACGAAATTCGTCACCTGGAATAAGTGATGATACATATTTCGTCACTTTGACGAAATGTATAAGTATAAAACAGGAAAGTATTGTATAAAACAGGAGTGTAAAACAGTAAACGGCTTCGTTCAAAACGAAAAGGTTTCGTGAAATTCGGGCATCAGCTTGATCATTTTTTACAGTGCCTTCTGATAAATTTTGTAGCAGAGCTAAGCTGACTATCCTGCAATCTTCATTAGTTATCGAGATGTTTTGAGCTGTGATTCAGTTGCCATTTTATTTATCATGTTTAATTTACATTCTTTATCACGTATTGGGAGAAATTTCTCCTGGATTAAGTATTGGGAAAAATTTGTCTTGGTTGAAGACTTTTTGAAGGAACTAACCCACATTTGAGTTACATGTAGAGGAAAACCACGATAACCTCACGCAGTTAGCCTGACGGATATAGAACTCTAACGCTAAGGATATTTCATTCGTCTATCACTAAGGATATTTTACGTCAACACTGGGGTAGATGCGAGCCAGGGACGAAATTCATATCAACGAGCAATCGTTGGGATTCGAACTCGGGTCACCTCATTAGGAGACGAGCGCTCTATCTCCTGAGCCACCACGTCTCTAATATTTCACATAAATAGACAGTACATCGATATATATATATATATATAATTCACTTATATTCATCTTATAGCTATTATTCGCCCGATATGGAATATTTCTTACTGAGCCTATGTCTTTCAGCCACTATTCAGGCTATAGGATACCCATTCATAATAGTGCGAGCCTAAGTCTAGTAGTGCAAAATCTAGATATCACAATTTTAAGATTTTAATGCTAAAAGGATAAGAAATATATATTCACGTTTATTTTAGCTAGTTTATTATTTTAAACCATAGCAAGATTTGCATCAATCAGATTCAAAAAATTATTTTGCGTTGATCCTTGTTTCTTTACTTACGATAAAAATTATCCGGACTCCCTACCAACTACTTTAAAAAAACAATAAGTAGCACATTTAACAACAAACTACCAAACAAAGTAGCGACTACAGTAGTTTTGTTTAGTCTGTTCACTGAATGCGAGTATATGGAATGAAAAATTTAAGAAACAATAGCACTCAATGCCATAGAATAATAATACCAATTAAGAAGTTTTTACACCAGTAATCACTGCTTCATTCTGAGTAATCCATTTAAAGAAGTCACTAAATGATTAGTAAGATTTTCTTAGCGTACTACTCCATCATTCAGTGTCTATATAATTCTGCATATAATTCTGCGATATGTCTTGCATATTTTGTGTCTTTCATGTGACATTTTCTTATCAAAATGAAGTTTATATTAGACGAGTTGTTTATAATCAAAAAACTCATTTCATTTGAAAGAAAAATCTCGTTGCCATCAACAATATCAGAATTTTTACACGCAGGGACCGATCAAGAGAAATTCAGGCCCAATTCCCACCAAATTCTCCGTTGTCCCTTAAAAAATATTTTGAAATTAAATTACTGAATTTTGCATAATATTTTGAGTAATTAGTCCTAGCAATAGAAAAGAATCTATTGAACTACACGATTCAAGATCATTCTAAAAAATTTTGAAAGCCGACAATTGAAGATTATTTTTCTAAGATAAAGTTTATGTATCTATAAATTAAAGCAAAATATAGAACAACAAAACAATTTTATGTCAAAATAAAAATAGTTTGGTGACCACAAACAATTGAAATCAGTGATTTTTGCTAAAAATCACTGATTAGCTGAGTTATTTTTTTTTATTGTAAGCTATAATTATTTTTCATTTAATACTTAAACCAACGTTAAGAAGGTTGGTTATATATATATATACAAAGCTATCTCAGCTTCCATTAGACTTTTTACTAATTTTTGAGGCTCCTCAGAAATTGTGGGCCCTAGGCCCATGCCTACTGGGCCTAGATGATAATCAGGCTTTGCACCCCAAAACATGTTAGGTAATATAATTCAAACTCGGTAATAAACCACTATATTTGCAATGTGATTACCGATTTCAGTGGACACCCTGTATATTTTATTTAATTAATTGATCAATAAATTAATTAGAAAAACAAGTCTCTTTCATACAATTCATTGGTATTTCTTTAGAATATACAGTTCTGGTTAAGGTGACCAGATTTATAAATCATGATTTGAGAACAAATCAGGCAAGCATCCTCGAAAGAATTAATGATTTGAGGTCACCCATATATTTACGGAAAATATTAATTTATTTGGGCAACAAAGAATTTTTTTTAAATCGATAACTAATAGTAACAGGTGCAGAATCATTTTCAATATTGATTTCATTACTGAGCAGTTTTCAAATATCATATAATATTCTGCATTTGGATAGATGTAAATTGAATGAGTGCAGTGAGCCAAGAAAAAAATCTGCTCGGATCTTTACGTTCTATGACTCAATCCTAATGGTATATATAGGGGTATATATATAATGGTATATATATATCCCCAAAAATATAGGGGATTGCCGCAATCTGGGAATTATATTGTCCTCAGGTCAGGAGAGCGATCCAAAGTTTGAACCCCTTAATGTTAATTTTACTTTTCGCGTATTTCGCCACATAGCTAGAACTTTCTAAGCGAAAGGAAAATGTTTTGAACACATTTATATAGTTCGTTTATCCAAAGATAAACGAATAATAATTTTAGCAAACAAATAATAATTTTAGCAAACAAATAATAATTTTAGCAAATGCTTATTATTTTTAATTATTTTATTTATTAATAGTTCAAAAATACTTTAATTGTAATGTATATCTTTTTTTACGTTTTTTTAAAGTATGTAATTTCGCATGGCAAAATACAATATTTGAGCAAAATTGGTTCAATAGTTCCTGAGAAATCGAGTTTTAAATAAAGGAATTCTTTAAAATTTGATTTCTCAGGAACTATCAAACCGATTTTGCTCAAATTTTGTATTTTGCCATGTAAAATTACATACTATAAAATGATTTAAAAAATTTTATACCTTACAATTCAAAATTTTCGACTGTTATTTTAATAAAATAATAAATATTTACTAAAATTTTTTTTTTGCATGAAGTTATCTTTGAATAAACGAATCTTATACTTGTGCCCGAATTTTTTCAATTCGCTTAAAAAGTTCTCAAGATATGGCGAAATACGCAAAATGTAAAATTAACATTAAGGGGTCCAAACTTCGGATCGCTCTACTGACCTAACTATGGGGACCATATTTCCAAGAATGTGGCTACCCCCTATAATTTGGCGGTCAGAAACTCGAATCTGTTTTTTAAAAAAAGGCATGTTTATTCAAACAAAGGACGTCTTTGCGTCTGATTTAGAAACTAAAAATATCGTCTGCACTTATTAATTAGCATATTTGAGGTCACTCCTTCAAATCATTAAGAATGAGTCCTAGAAAGTGAAGATCCGATCATTAGATCAAAAGTTAATCAGGGTGGTTTCATCAAATTCTTTCTTTTTTTTCTTCTTTTTTTTGCCCACTGCACATGATTATTGAAATGTGTTATTTTTTGCTTAAATTATTTTAAGACGAGTATGACGTTTTCTGCTGTTATTTTTTTCATAGTGTTTTTTGCTTTTCGTTTTTATTCTTTCTAAGATAAAACTATCATTTAAAAAAAACACGCACATTTCCGATTTTTTTGACATTTTACTGCGTATAAATTCTAGAAAATTTAAGAACACACGTTAAAATTCGGGCATATTTCCTATTCTTAAAGAGCTTCAAACTTGTTGAGGATGATCCAAGGACTGTGCTCAAGATTTGAGAACATCTGGTCACCTTAGTTCTGTGTAGTTCTTCTAGTGATAACCAATTAAGTTTTTCTCAAAAATTTTATTGCAGTTGTTGGTATCATGTATGCACCACTACCTCTGATTGGATATGCAGCTTATGGGATAAATGTTAATCCCAATATCCTTCAAAATTTGTATGGAAATCATAAAATGCACGCCTTAGCCACTTTTCTGAAATTTCTTTTTGTTTTAAAAATGATGGCAACATTCCTTGTAAGTCTGAACCCCTTATTTAAAAATTTGGAGAGTCTCTTACAAGTTCCACCCAGTGAGTTTTTCTTGTTTTCTTCATAAAAGAACCCTTATTTTACTGGTTAAAAATTTGTTAACGCAAAACCGAAGCAAATAGGGCACATTGCTGTTAATTACTGAATTTTTTACAAAATTACTCGTTTGTTTGTAAAATTTTATAACTGGAAATAACTTCTTAAATACTACCGTTTTATTAGCAAAAAACAACAACTTATTTTTGTTTATTTGGCATGTTATGTACTCTTTGTAAATAGAATAGGTGTCTCAAGATTACACGATTTCCCCACTCTCCTCATTTTCCAAATATTCCTTACCATGATTATAGCAAATCTTGCTTTTTTCACCGTAGGGCGACTCTGTAAGAAGTTAGAATATATTTGAAAGGGAAAAAAGCCGAATTTGTAGACACCCTGGTAACAAAAAGGGGGAAAATGCAAAGAGTGGAGAAATCACGTAACATTCTATTTATTAAAAGTAGAGCATAAATAACTTGATAAAAGTGTCATGCAGCATAGTTTAAGAAAGCTACTGGACGACTAGTCAAATTTTCATCTTGTGACGTAGCTAAGTTAATTGTTAACCGAACTCAAAGCCAAAACGTAAATATTTTCCTCATAAAAGCCACTTCTTTACTTTGAAAGTAAACAAAAAAAAAACGGTTCTCATTAACGTTTAGCCAAGCACGTGAAGAAGTTTCTCCCTTCCTCATAAATGCGCAAAGAAAAGCTCATTATATACAGTTGAACCCCTTTTCTTGCTTCAGAGATCGTCTTACTTACGAGGCGAACATAAACAACAAACCAAATCAGTTAAGATGCACCATCCCGTTCGCGTTGTGATATTCAGCCCATTTGTTCACCAGACTTGAATCAGTGGATATCCGTTTGATTCATCTAGAGATATTTTTTTTTTAACTTTTAGAATTTTTTTATCTTAAATTTTTTCCACGCTTAACAAAAATCCAATAATTCGTCGCTTTGAAACTAAACCGTGGTAACTCAAAAAAGCAAGTTTTTCAGGAGAGTGATTTCTAACATTTCAAGATGGCGAATCGCGCCAATGCGATAACGATTTATCTGCTCTCTAAATTAATTTTACGGAACTAATGATGATATCACGTTGTTTCTCCACAAAGATTATTTTTTTTTACGCAAAATGACCCAAATATCTCATTTTTCGATTTTTTTTTTCAGTTGCTACGGTTTAGTTTCAAAGCGACGAACTATAGATTTGTTTCATGGCAATGTGAGCCTTTTGGCGTTTGTGGTTTCGCTCAGTTTAAATTACCAGAGAAGTGTAGGGTGGAAGATTCTTTCCCTACTAAATTATCGGAGAAATTTAAAATTAACTTTACCTAATTAGTGCTGAACTCTTAGTGCTGAAATTGCAATACATTCGATCGCGCTTATACGAATATAAAAGATAGCATAAAATGACTATAAAGTGCTGAATAATATTTTTTTAATACGCTTGAGTGTGGCTTATCTTATCATATATTCATAAAAAAATTTATTCCCTTATCTGATAAGGTGTGCTCGTTAAACGTTCGCATAGCTATTTAATAATTATCCTGAACTTGATCTACCAGTAGCACGCATATTGCATATTGTTTATATTCTTATTTTTTTACAACTGACATTGTGTGTTAAAATTTTAACTTTAACAGGTGTGATGTACAGAGGGAAAAATAAAAAGCGGACCACTCTGAATAACTTTTGATCTAATGATCGGATCTTCATGCTCTAGGATTCAATCTTGAAGGTATGAGGGGTGACCTTAAATATGCCAAGAGCAGACAATATTTTAATTTACGAGTACGAAACCACACGAAAACGTTTTATCTACAAAACATACCTTTCTTACACCAAATTTGGGTTTCAGACCCCTAAAATATTGGGAGTAGCCACAATCTGGGAAATTTGGTACCCATATTTTGGTTAGGAGAGCAGTTTAAAGCTTGGAACGCTTAATGTTAATTTTATTTTATGCGTATAATGCCATATCTCGAAAACGCTTTTAAGGGAATTAAAAAATTGTTTTGCACAAAATTATAAAACTCATTTATCCAAAAATAATTCAATAGAAAATATAACTTTTAGTAATATTATTTTTATTAATAATAGTCTAAAATATTTTGAATTGTAATGTATAAAATGTTTTGCATTTATTTAAAGGGTTTAATTTTACTTGGCAAAATTCAAAATTTGAGTAAAAGGGATCAAATAGTTTCTGACAAATCGAATTTTGAAAATACGACTCAGGAACGCTTAAGCACGAGACGCTTTCGATCAGTGCGATACTTTTTAATGTCTGATTTCGTAACGTTAACTGTTATCTGCACTAAGTAATTAGCATATCAGAGGACATTACCCCCTCGAATCATTTAGATTGAGTCCTACAATGTGAAGATCCGATCATTAGATCAAAGGTTATTAAGGGTAATCCTTTTCTTTGTGTGTATTGTATTAAAATGTTAATTTTAATACATACTAAAATGTTTATTTTTTTCCAATTTCAGAATTTGGATTTCGCAGATGTCTTTTCAGAACATCTGTTATTGTTCTGATCACATTATTGGGGTTTTTAGTTCAGCAAAATATACTGATTTTAGAAGTTGTTGGAGCAGCGTTACTGAACATCTTGGCATTTCAATTTCCAGTGATCTTTTATATTTGCCTCGTGTTAAGAAAAGGCTCAAACACACGATCCCGGTTTGCATTTTGTGTATTTATTTCTTATTTAATTTCAAATATTCTTACGATTTTCATATTCATTATTTTATACTAAACATTACATTAAATGTTTAATAAAAATCATTTGATATTAAAAATGACGAAAGAACCTTTAAAAAAAGAAATTAAATACAGTTAAAAAAATCGAAAGTGAACAATGAAAGTGAACTCAAAACATATCAATTTTCTTCAATCATCCATCTTAAAGCATTAGCTTATTCTAATTAACCTTAAATCACAAATACTAATTTATTCTCCACTATAAGAGCTTATATGCGAGATAACAAAATATTTAGGACTCACCCCTTTCATGCGATTTTTACTTTTTGTTGCTTCATAGAACAGAACAGCATTTTGCATTTATGAAGTAGAGATATTATTCTTTTCGCTTTTGAAATAAGCACCTCGAAAGCTAAAAACTTCTTAAAATTACAGGCTTGGAATACATAACACTTTTCGAAAGAAAAAAAAAACATTATGATTATTAACCATAACCAAATCATAAATGGATCAAAGCTCGTCAAGTTAAAATTCCAAAATTCATTAAAAGTTATTACGTTCTTGAAATATTCAATATTTGACATTATCATTGCAACAATATCATGAGTCCTTTGTTTATCTATTCAAACGAAGAACATCTAAACGAGCTACCATTTTTAAAAATGTGGCATAACGTATTCAGTTGTTCGTCCTTTTTCACCAAATAATACACAACAACCAAGTAACTAAACATCTTCATACGTCAACAACAAACAAAATTTAATGAAAATGGAACAAAGCTTTTAAAAAGCAAAAGTGTGTAGGATCGTTTTCAATGAATTCAACAAATACCAATGAATTTAATCTTGTAACATATTTTTTAACGTTTATAGGTTCAATATTAAGTGATAGCATCAAAGCATCAACTTTCTGATATTTGAGCCATTTCTTAAAAAAAGAAAAAAAAAAACGCGCTGACGAATAAAAAAAAAAAGACGGCTGCTGCCGTTCGCGCTTGATTTAAAATCGTTTGCTTTTTTGTAAACAAATATCAATTAGATGTTTATTCTTTTGAATGATTTTCTTCTATCGACAACCTCTCCATTTACATTTTTATGAGTAGTGAAACTAAATTTAAAATTTACTCTGATTATTATATGCATTTCAAATTACGGATTATTCAAGAAACTTAAAAGTGTCTGAACAATCATTGGGCATCATATTCTATTGAAAATTAGTCAACATTTCTTCCTGAAAATAAATCATTGTAGTGCAAACATATAATCAATAATAGTCCAAATGTATGCAAAATAGAATAAAGTATTTTACTCAAAATTAAAAAATAACAAAAATGCTTAGTTTATGGGTTTTTTCTCTCAAATCATTTATTTTTTTTACCTCTGCAATAATTCTTTTGAACAAAATAAATCTTATCAAGACGGTTTTGTGGCTATAACAGCTGTGTAAAATTTGAAATCTTTAACAGGAATCTTAAAGAAAATGTAAGTATATATATCTATTTCAAAAATAAAAGGAAAAGACATCAAAGTTCTTTCTTTAAAAAGATAACATTAAAATAGATTTATTTAAATATTGTTCAGTAATTTGGACAAGGTATAGTTACATTTAAAATCTTTTAACAATCACGAAATTAATTTAACGAAAGCAATTTTTTTAACAATCACGTTTAAGGAAATATTGTTTTTTTTTTCAAAATCATATTGAGAGACTTTAGAGCCATTTAGAAAAGATCACACGTGATTGTAATTGTTGTGACTATTCATAACTCCATTGTGATTATCATATTTAATTTAAGAGGTCGCAAAAACTGCTCACACTACTTTCAAATCATTGGTCTAACTTCAGTGAAACAAGTCACGCAAAATACCCCAATAACTTTAAAGAGGCAAGTCGTGAAATAGTTCTCATATGACTTTCAACAAAGTTGTAACTAAGTGGCGACAAAGAATCTCAGTGACTTTAGTCCCAGTGATGTATAAGTGTGATTACCATCTACCAAAAGTCACAATAAGTAGTCAGTGAAACTTTTATGTGGTATCTCAAAATAAAGTAACATTATTTATTGGGGCAATTTAAAACGGTCACACACGGTCGTCGCTGCTGTGACCATTTTTTAAATTTTTTTATGACGTTAGTGTGACACTCTGTGCTATCTGCGTACTTAATCGATGTTATATATTTATTTCTTAAATTTTTTTTGTTTGTTTGCATGCAGCACATATTTTCAATCTGATTAGAGCCACTTTATATCTTAATTGCAAAAACATTTTGTTTAAAAAGAGCAAGTATATTTTTAGTAATATGTTAGTA